TTTAAGTCAAAATGTTAACAGCCTGCTAAGGCTCTTAGGGCTGTTGAAGGTCGTTTATTGACGACTATTTATCCATAATTTCTTCAAATCTTGTTTACACTATAGCTACAACAACATTTTCATGAGTGCAACTTTTTCATATTTTACTAGTGTAAAGCTACTCATCCATCTAAACATTCTCATCTCAACAACTCTTAATATAGCTCTTTCACATGATGTTTTAAGAGTTTGGTTAAAAGTTGTGGGACGAGGATACTTAGTTTTATGATCGACTCTTCACTTAGAGACAAAATATGACAAAAATATATTTGTGCGAAAGCTAGTGTAGCTATAACGGCATATAATATTAGAGGGAGTCATCCTAATGGATTGAAAATCATTGCTTGACTAATAATAATCTTCGACAGAACTAATATAACTAAAATATCAAACAAACCAACTTGTAGTATAGCTAATTTTGTTTATCAATATAGCTACAACAAACCTTGCATGAGTTTATTTCTTTCGCATTTTATTTTTCAAATGGAAATTCAATCATAGCACTAAGCACACCCATCATCGCAAACCCCATACACGAAATCTAATTTGTTAGTTTTAAAATAGAAATTCACTTCGAATTCTAATTTGCATTGTCAAAATAGGAATTGTGGTAATGGAATTTAGATTTTGATGTCAATTTCCATCTTGGAACTGACAAATTACATTTCGAAGTGAATTTCTATTCTGGTTGTGGAAATTAGACTTCACATTGGATGATGCAGAGAAAACTCTTTCATCATATGAAATGTTTCATTCTAAGAACATATTTTCAGATGTGCAGTCAATCGCGTAAGGGACTACGGGGACAATAATTTTTAGTTATATGATTGGCTTTAGAGCGTTTTTAAACCTTTGCCCGCTGCTGGAGAGTGAAGTTGGGCCTGGTTGATGAACATGAATTCTCCTCCCTATCAGGTATAGAACCAGGTTATGTCCAGAGTGGGTAATTACTCCCTTTAGAATTTACAAATTCTTTTAATAAATAGTAAAATTTAATATTTTTTTTTCTTATGTGGTTCGTGCAATTTATTAATTTTGCCCCACCCTCGATATATTTTTTTGCCCAGTACTTAAAACAAATTGATATTTGGTGATTGTGTCCATTTTAAAAAATAATGTTGGTTCTAACTCTGCAATTTGGCCATCTTCAAAATTTCATGTTTTTTTATTATTTTAAAGATTTAAATTCACAGCTTGAAAAATTCATTATGCTAATAGCTTGTAAAGCAATTTATTTTTTTTGAAGTTGTTATACTCTTTTAAATTCAAGTAGAGGAAAGTATGTTCAATGAATTGGAAGAATACAACTTGAATTATTTTTCTATGAAGATTAATGTTTGTCTTTGCTTAAAAATCATAGGTCTTCACAACCACACAACTAAGATGGTAGATATATTTATATAAAGAAATCGGGTGAAATAAAATTGATTGTGCCTGATCCACTTGAGAGATTTAGAATTAATATAGAAAGAGTTTGTGCAAGCCTCAAAGGCATAGTACATCATGCATGTATATAGTTTTATATCACATATGGGTATGGCCCTGTGATTTTTTTTTCCTTTTCAACTTTCTTACATGAAAACTCTAATGTCTTGTTTTTCTGTCCTTTTTTGTATACGTACGAAACCTACATACAAAATATTAAACTCTATCACTCTTCATGAATATTCTTGAACATAAAAACTACTAAAAATGATAGATGTAAGAGAAAATGTTTGATAAATCAATCCTAAATAGCAAAACATATAAAACAAACCACATAGTTTTAATATCTCCATTCAATGAGAAGTTTTAGGAAGATAGTCTTCATTTTTTGCCTTGACTTTCACTAAGAAGAAGTAACAGGACTACTTCTCCCTCCTAACAAGGGAGCTTTTATCAAAACCACGATCCTTGTAAGTATTTGAAGAAGACGTGTGTTGCCAGAACACATGATAATTAAGTTTCAAGAAATTCATATGCCTATCTTGTCAGGCCATTGGTTTTCATTATCAACATCATTCAAAAGATATTACTTCTCGTTGATAGTTCTTCTAGAGAAGAATGTTACAAAAAGGCGTAAGTCAAAGTTCTAAATGTGTCAAAATTTCAATGGAGTCTTAAGAACTTTGCTTTAAGAAACTAATACTAATATATCCTGCACTACAAGACAGATGCACCCAGGCAGGCTCGAACCCGTGACCCCAAGGGACTCACAATGCAGTTGTCAACCAAAGAGTCAAGGGGCGTCTTCTGAGGGCTCGAAAATTTATGAAGAGGATAGCGAATGAACACAGGAGAGGTGCAATTTGAATCAGGGGACATAGTCTACTTGAAGTTGAGGCCCTACCGACAGAAGACATTGACCGGGAGGAGAAGCAAGAAACTTTCACCGAGATACTTTGGGCTTTATAAGGTGATGAGATGCATTGGGGCAGTGGCCTACCATTTGAAGTTACCACCATCATCCGCACTACCCCGGTGTTCCATGTATCCCAGCTGAGACGAGTGATTGAAGATCACACACCCTCATCTACTCTACCGCTGACGCTGGCGGGGGACTTGGAGGTGATTCTGGAACCATTAGAGATTGAGGGAGTGCGCCGAGGAGTAAGGGGGAGTGAAGGAGGTATTGATTAAGTGAAAAGGGTTGTCAGACTATGAAACAATGTGAGAGCTTTACTAGGTGATCCACAATCAGTTTCCATCTTTTCACATCGAGGACAATGTACTTTTTTAGGAGGAGAGTAATGTTACACCCATAGATGGGTCATAGAATTTTTATGTTACCCTTGAAAAAATTTGTGAAAACCAGAACCCTGCTGATATGTTGACTAAGTGTTGATGCTTGAGAAAATTTGTGAAAGTCAGAACTCTGCTGATATGTTGACTAAGGGTGTTATTCTTGAGAAACTGAAGTTGTGCACAGCTTCAGTTGGTCTTCTAGCTTGAAGACAGGGATCTTGAGTTGCAAAGGTGGAGGATAACACTTTTGAAGAAAAGGGTGACGCGACCGGTGAGTGATATCAGTTTGAGGAAGAAGACGTTGTAGTTTGTGTACTGGTCTCCAAGTGGGATATTTGTTGTGGTGGAGCCAAATTTAAGAAAATAAAAATTTGCTTGCCGCCTCTTTCAACTGTTGCCGCCTCTCATTCTTTGGAAGAGGCATGAACTTTGATTTGGTTGGCCCCACCACCATAAATGCAAGCAAAAGAGAAGAATTCTAAACATCTTCTTTGAGACCGAACTCCAAAAGGCTGCTTCACGAATTTGGTTTCTGTGTAAGGCTTACGAAAAAATTGCTACAGGCGAGGCGGTTTTCAAGGCTTCTTAGAAGAAAGAAACTGTAAAGAAATATTCTTGGTTTATGCTCTCCCTCATTCTTCTTCTGTTCTGCATTGGTTTACGGGTGAAGGAAGTATCGCAAAGCACCGGGAAGAAAAGTTACGTGGTGAAGGATTAAATTGCAAGCACGTAGCAGCAGTTCCTTGCGATTTGTTTTTCGGTCTTCTGTGAGACGCCAGAAAGGAAAAGCTCCCCTTACTGTTGCTTCTTGGTGATCGGGCTGAACCTTGCGTGCGATATATCTACAAGCAGTAGGAATCGCGAGGTGTGCTCTTTCCGATTCTTCTTCTTCTTGGGTGACTCTCCGGAGCCAGAAAGAGCAAGTGAGAGATCCTGTAATTGTCGACGTGATCAAACGGTGTAATTCCTCAATTAATAAAAACCTCTGCAACTCCGTGGATGTAGGCAATTTGTCGAACCACGTAAATCTGTGTGTTCTTTTGGTGTGAATTTTCTCATTCTATTTTTCGCATTCGTCGTCGATCGTTTTCCAATTATATATACCACAACAGTTATTATCTGCCGATGGTGGAATAGAGGCATCTAACCCATTACCTCTAAATAATTTGAGAAATTAAGGTTTTCAAGGATAAGTTGAGTTTGGATAACATATTTAATATTTGAAATGTGAAATTCTTAAGGGAATAGAAAGATCCGCGTTATGCAATAAGGAACTAGTTTGAGGATTAATTGTTGAAGTTGCAGACCTATACATTTGTAATGAAAAAAAGAGCATAATATAGAAAGCTGAGAGCTAGAAATGCAATGAGATCTTATTGTAGGCTGAGTTGAATAACCTGTAAGGCATATATGCTCCGATACCATGAAAACTCCAATATTCAGCATTCTACGAGACCATCTGCAGGAATTTGTAACACAAAAAATCTGTACTTAACAGGATTAAAGTAAGAAGGGAAAGCTGAAATTCACCATTGTCTTGATTGCTAATATCATCACATGACATGGGTACGTTCAGAATTTCAGCAGGA